CTCTTTCTCTGAAAGTATTATTTTTTAATAGATTTTAAGTTCAACATGATTGTTTACAAAATCCAGTGAGTATTAGATCGTTTTATTCTAATTTTTCGAAATCATTTATAAATGAGAATTAAGTGAATTTATATATATACTGTGACGTTGCCGCCTCGCTGCAGCGTCGCAGCGACCCTTCGCCGTCACAGAGCGCGAATTGGCGTATGACCCGGGCCGGGAATGGCGAGCGAGCGAAATCTCCAGGGGCCGTAATTAGCGATTTAAGTATTATTTTCTAATCCCCACGATTTAATTACATGTAAAATGAGTGACGCCTCACCGAAGGAGGAACGACGGCAGTTGGAAGCAAGCAGCAACGGAAGAATAGGAGAGGAGCGGCCACCAGGGCCGAGGTAGCGGTCGACCGACTTAAGCCTGCGAGAAGCGGGGGCCGCGGGAGGACCGGACGTCCGGCGAATGGAGGAGGGACGCCTCGAGGAGGCGCGGGTCCGACGAACAGGACCGCCGTGTGCCAGGCAGCGAGAAGGCGGGCCGTCGGTAGCATAAAAATACGCTGCCGACACTAGATGAGCTCGCGGGGCCTTTCACCACCCCTAGGACCTCGCTGGGCACGGCACTGCCCGCGAAGGATCGCGGGCACGCACCTTGGTCGCGGAAAAGCGCGGTGCGGCTGCGCGCCCCTCGGAGGGGGATAACGTATTGATCGCGCATCGATCGCGATTTTCGGTGCTTTTCGTTTCCGGCGTGCGACAATTGCGGACGTCCCGGCCCGTCGAGCGAGATTCGAGAGAAAGAGAGAGAGAGACCGGAATCGGCTGTAGGCGAGCGGGAGCCAGGGATCTATCGGTGAGGTTGCTCTTGGATTACTAAGGTTGTAAGGTCGCATGCATCGGGGCGAGGGACCCCCGTGTTCTGCAGTCGAGCGTCGTTAGTGAATTCTCGCGGAGCCGCCATTCGCGGCGCTTTGGTGTAACGTATCGTTAGTGAGACGCTCGGCGACAAGCACGGGAAACTCCCAAGCTTCAGGGTAGTCGGCTATCGGGGAGTTAACGTAGATTTGGAGTTGCGGGCCTCCTGGAGATCGCGATAGCTGAGAACGAAAAAGCCCGTGCACGCGTGTTGCACGTTCGCGAGACGGCGGCGCGAGAGCGAGCGTTCAGGGGCAATATTTGTTACCGGTTTCCGTTATCGGTAGCACAGCAATTGTATTAGG